ACCGTGAAGTATTGGGCATAACACTTTATATTTTATCACAGAACGAGTCAATGTGGGGAGCCATGGAACGCTTCCAACACTCATCTGAAACAATAAGCAGATATTTCTCAGTTGGTTTGAGTTCTCTTGTCAGTCCAGCACAAGCCGTAATAAAACCCACAGATCCAACGTTTGCAAGAACGCCAGTAGAGATTCGCAACGATGCCCGATACATGCAATATTTCAAGGTAGACATTCATACTTCAAATAAATATTATTGGATTATATATTGAAATGATTTCACTTATTCGTAAAGAGTTGCATCGGCGCAATCGATGGAACGCACGTTCATGTTAGGGTGCCGGATAACGAGAAAGCTGCATTTATCGGTCGTTCCGGAACCACAACTCAAAATATTATGACAGTATGTGATTTCAACATGTGTTTTACATTTGCATTGGCTGGATGGGAGGGCAGCGCACATGATAGTAGAATTTTTAAAATTGCAACGAGAAATCCGGAGTACAATTTTTCTCACCCACCGCATGGTTAGTTCCTTACTAATACAAGTAGATTTTTGTTTTGTATGCTCATCTAAAGTTTATAAGTTTTCAGTGAAGTACTATTTGGTGGATGTTGCGACCCAATGCATAGGGGGTACCTTAAACCCTATCCTGACACAAGGTATCATATTTCAGATTTTCAGAGAGTCAGCAATCATACAAGAAATAGAAAAAAAATCTTTAATAAAAGACATCCATCCTTACGAGACATAATTGAGATGACTTTTGGAGTTTGGAAGAAAAAATGGGTCATACTTCGAGATATGTCACCTTATCCGTTTCCGAAACAGGTGCATATAGTGTTTAGATATGCCACCTTATCAGTTTCCGAAACAGGTGCATATAGTGTTAGCCACTATGACCCTTAATAACTATATTAGGCGGCATCCAACTCGAGTTGATGTTGATTTCGAGCGTGTCGAGGTCAATGACGAGGAAGTGCCAGTCGAAGTTTTTGAATACCGCATTGGCCAATCTCTATCAACAGAGGAGAACGACAATGCCTCAATTTGCACGAAAGATGGGGAGGGTGCGAATGAAATGACAGCCCTTCGTGAGGAGCTCACTACCTCATTAGTTGGAGAACACAATATGATTTAGGGTTTGTGTTTGTTTTCAAACAAATATTTCAATTTTAATGAACTCTTTTTTCATTACCTAATATGTTAGTAATTATGTTTTGTACCTCACGACAGACACACAACTACGGTAGGAAGTTTTATACATGCCCTCGAAGCATTGCGGAGCAATGCAGATTTTTCCGATGGGCGGACAGTTTCTCTGATGCTGAGGATGATGTTGGTAGCGATTTGCGAGTTTCAGA